AATACTACAACCACTTAGTCGACCATTATTTGACTAGTGCCATTATACCTCAACGACCAGGATCACCCATTGTTCAATGTACTAACCACTTATAGACTCATATTAGAAAACACGTGTTTATCTCTTATTTTTCATCAATTTTCTTATTTCAAAAAAAAATATATATATATGTATATCTGTTCAACTAAAATATTTTCTTGTTTTTACCAAACCCCATCCCTATTTTAATTAATATTAAAATAAAATCGGGAAAACACTAGGGATATAATAATTAGGATCGTAACACTACCCTTTAAAAACAACCCTAAGGTCAAATAACCACCCCTTGTTGATAAAAGTTTTTGTGAATGATAAAAAAAATCTATACTCTCTAAATGCTTCTAAATTATAAAAAAATGTTTCTAAGTGACACAGATATGGATAATATTAATAAGCACCCCCCTCGAAACCATCCCTATTGCTTAACAAGATTCAGGCGAATCTCACAACTTTTTTTATTTTTTTTGTCCGACATATTGGATCCGCCATTTTGAATTTTTGAAAACTGGCATCGGATTCGTAATCAGCGACCCCGAAAATCCCTGAGTAACAATTTTTAGACGAATCTGATGAATTTTCAATTTATCGTCTGCCATATTGGATCCGCCATTTTGAATCTTTGAAAACTAACATCGGATTCGTAAACAGCGACCCCGAAAACCCCCGAGTAACAAATTTTAGGTGAATTTGGTAGATTTTTTAATTGTTTCGTTTTTTGGGATAGTTTTCATTAATTTTTTTTACCCTCAGGTAAAGTTTTGTTATTATTTTTTTTACAAAGTTTACAATATTTTAAAACATGTTACTTTGAAAGCCGAAAAAAAAATTTTTCTGGAATTTATACCTTTTTTTTATTTTTGTCATTTTTGCGTTTTTTGAAGGGGTATATTTCATAAAGGGTAGTATTTTGTAAAATGGCATTCATATGTATTTGTTACTCTCGCTCACCCCTTCAAAATGAGACCTTAGCGGAGTTGATCCGTTAAGTTTTAAGAAAGTTATGCTTTTTTGAAGTAGCTCCACTAAAGGGTTAAGTGGTTAAGTGCTTTAGCTCTATTAAAGGGTTAAGGTCATATGCTCAAATTAATGCGATTATAATATTAAGGTCCTGTGTTCAGATTAATACTTAGTTAAGAAAGTACATGTTTGTTAATTTTGATTGTAATATTAAGGATTAGTGTTAGGATTAATATTTAACAAGAATAAACGTAATAGTTAGTTCTAGATTTTTAAATTCTAGAGACAAACAGATTTTTAAAAAAAAATTTAATAAATTTATTTTATATCATAAATAAATACCTTGTCTTCTAAACATCTACAAGAATATCTTCGAACAAGTGAAATATTAAACGAACTTCTTGTGAAATTTATTCTTTTTCCTGCTTCCCACTCTGCTTTAAACTTAAGTTGTATAGATGGGACAAGTGGTTTTTCATCTTCCTTATATATCTAAACTGTGGCGTCATCTGGTGACTAGTCGCGATACTACAAGTAAGAATTTCTTTTACTTTGTGATCAAATTTAGAGAGTATAATAGTTGAAGGGAGAAATTTTTTTAACTTTAAATTCCCTTGTCAGACACATCATCACAAAACTTTAAATCTAATTTATAAAGTTCAACTACGTTTTTTCATGTTTTCAAATTGAAAAGAACTATTTCTGCAATTATTTTCAGAGAAATGTTTTTTGCATACTTGTTCGAGGCCTTAACTAAAGGAAAATTAAATGTATTCTACTTACCACTTTATTTGTTATTCTTGAAGAAAAATATTTAAAATATGACGTTGCCCATTAGTTATTTAAATAATAAAAATTATATAATATTAGAAGTAGAATTAAATATATAATTTACTTTTCAGTTTTGAAAAAAGTTATAAATTATCAAACAACTATTTTTTAATTTGATTGAATTTAATAAATAAAAATTTCTCAACTTAATTTATATGCTATCAGAAAAGGTTTTATGAATAGGATACAAAATATTAGTTTATAACATATATATTTATTTGAGCTTTAATTGCATTTTAAAATACAACCGAAATAATTAAATAATGATAAATCTGGTAAAATGATTTCCAAGAGTCGCGTATACATGATGCATATCTTTGTGAATCCATGTGTAGGTACGTTCGTGTGTTTCATGTGAATGCGTTACCTTACTCGTATGAGTTTCGAGCGCGCGTTTTTTGACGCGTTTATTTATTTCCATCTAATTCTATTTCCATTTTTTATTCGTTCATCACACTCTCAGCAGTCGTATGTAATTACAATATTAATATTATTATGTTGATAAATACTTTAAAAGTCCGCGATGGAAGAAGTAGAGTTTACAAGAAATACGTATACAAGTGTTTGTCACTTCACCCTTCTCTCACTTTTTCTTTTTTATTAATCAAGAACCACACATTACTCTACACTTTCGTTACTCTGTGCTGTCTACTCGTACATTCATTCACAGTTTCTCTCTCATTTTTCCCCTCTATAATTTTCTACTTGCCTCTCCTTCAGTTTCACTCTTTTAAGTCTTTGTTTTTATTATTAATTTAATTTATTAATTATTTCTTGGAGTCTCAGTTTATTTTATTCATTCTGTAATACATATTCTTTCTTTGTTTTTGAATCATCTACTTTCTTTAATGTGTTACTTCGCTTACTCTTGAAATTTTTTCTTCTTTCATTCACTGAATGTTTCAAAAAACATTCATCAACATTCATTCCGATATCACCGTATCTCATTGATCTCCAATTTAAAATGTGTAATTAATTAATTATATAATATACACAATATCGCAATAATTCGAATGATAATAAATGACAATTTTTACACGTTAATGACACATGGCTCATTTTGTCGCGTTAATAAATATCATTTAAACAAGGAAAAATGTACAATTGTCATACATGACACTTTGCCTGTAAAAAGGCATGCTCCAAAAATTAAGGAGCGCTTGTTTCTATAAACGCAGAATAATATAGTTTAATGAAATTCGATATTGCACTGCGACGTGCGCTTTATTTACCGCTTCTCGCTCACCGGCTGATTATCACCCGGAAGACAGTAGACATATAAAACTAGTTCTATTTTTTAGAAATTAGCGAAGCGCATGATTATTCCCCAAAATGGCATTTGATTGAACTGACATTTTATCCAACTGCATTTGACCGATCTGTCATTTTAACGAAATGGCACTTAATCCAACTGTCTTTATGACGAAATGACAATTAACCGAATTTCCGTTTTAACGAATTGTCAGTCTTACGAATTGTCATTTGTTCAATGCGAAATTCTTACAAATTCTCTTGTTATATTGGCGATTCGTGTAAATGGTATTTCGCTATAAAAACTGTTCGGTTAATTGACATTTCGTTAAGATGACAGTTCGGTCAAATGTCATTTAGGGAAATATTCATGCGCCTCGAAATTAACAACGAAATATTATATATAAAAAAAGTAAATTTCTAAAATCTGTTGAATTAATTTTTTTTATATTTTAATCAAGATACGGAAAAAATGATTTCTTGTAAAGAAAATTTTATTTGACAAAATAGACAATCTATTTTTTTTGCACTTTTTGCGCAAGCTTTCAGAAATATTATGATATTTATATGAAGGCGAAAAAATATACAGAATATAATTCATATATTTACAATAATTTAAAAATGTAACTAATATGTAAATTCCTCATATATTCGATCTAGATTTATAAATCTACTAATTCCCGTGGTAATAAGTATCAACAAAAAAAATTCCTATACATGGGCAAGGAGCCTAATCTAGTCTATACTAATGACCTACAACTTATTCTACAGGTATACATGCTGACGATCGACCCTATGACAGGTGATAAATAAGCCTTTTTATTCCAAAAATTGTTATCTTTAGATTTATTGCTTCTTGTGCATATGCGCCGAGAAATTGTTATATTCCAATCTTGAAATTTGCGATTAAAAATTGTTTGACTATGAACAAGGGATTACAGTGTTTTAAAATTAGAAACTATAATTTTATATCAATTTCAGATCGCAATAATTCCAAGTTTGGAATTTTTTGCCTAGAATTTGAAAAAAGTGTCTTTTTATTTTTCATAAATATAAAGAAACAGATAGAGTATGAAAAATTTGCAAAATGGATGAAGTAAAATCGGCGCCTATTACATTTATGCTTTCGATTCCTGTTCCACTCACCTTATCGTCTGTATAACATAGAACTTCTTAAGAATTTATTATAAAATCACATACTTGGCCGCGCGCCGAGCCCCATGACTCAGCAGTGCCGCGAGATATGGTGGCATCACAATTAATTTAATCTCATCTCCTAACTAGCCGCTTATCGTCACTATCGTAGTCATCATTGAACCCCCAAAGTTTACATTGAACGTTGTAAAAATTCAAATTTTCGTAGACCGACATTTTGCGCAGTGACAATCACATTATAATTAATATGAAAAAAATCAATTCTCAAAGCATTGAGTTGACATTTTATAAAAGAAGGTCAATTTTCAACTTAAACCAAAAAATATATGATTGAATTTTAACAAAATTGAGCAACAATTTGTTCATACAGTTTTGTTATAAACTGATATGAAACATAATCAATGAAGATAGAAACCTTATGTATGGAAAAATATATTTACCAAATTTTTAAGTATATGCTTGCAGAATAATAAAACCTGACAATCAAGTACACAGCTCTTTATTACAAAAATTTATGAATTTATTATTTTAATACTTTATTCATCCCATCAACTACTTTTTTACTAAATGAAATTTTTTGTTATTTTACTTCGATAAGTTTCAAAAAGGCCAAGCATTTATCAGTAAAAGTCGAATACTTCATTTGAAATTAAAAAAAGTAATAATTTTATTCATGCTTTGTATTGATGGAAAAATTTCAAAAATATTGAAATATTTTTCTTTTTAATTCAGACTTTTCGTTTTAAATTCTTAAATAATTTGAGAAGAGGAAAAATGTATTAATTTTTTTTGAGTATTTAATTTTTTATTTATAAAACAGTAAGAAATGAAATTGTAAAATTTGTTATTTAAATTGGACAAAAGTGAGTCAAAACGACCAAAAAATGTATGCTTTCTTTAAATTTTTTTTCATAAAATAAAATTTTCTTATTTAAGAACTTTCGTATATTAAATTACATTATAATGTGAGTAACTTATTGAAATTATTTTTCAAAAGTATTAAAAATCAGGTCCATAATAATAGGTTCTTTGAGATCCTTTCCGAAAAAAGAACTTGTGCGTTGGTCACTATATCTTCAGATAGCTTTATCGAAAATTAAGAAACAAAATATTGTATGTTGACAGATTTTTTTGTTTAAGTTGTAATATTTAAGTCATTATAAAATATAAAAATTTGACATCTGAGAAAGCATGTTATTCAATTCTTAATTCTGGTCGTTTTGGTCTCTTGTAACCAAGTGTACAATGCTAACAGCATGAATATTTTTGAGATTTTATCAATACACAGCCATAATTATCAAAAAATAATAAATTGAAAACTTGTGTCTTTTGGTTTTTTCAACTTGATTTCTTTAAATGATAGAAAATTAACCTTCAAGTAATATAATTTTTGCCTTTTAAAGATTGAGGGGAGTCCACTAAATTTAAAATAATTTTTTTACAATGTTCCAGAAGTTGGAAATATCTTGTAAATACATGAACATTTTAAAAATTTATAAATCATGAATTCGACGAATAAAACTAAAAGAAAATTATATTTCAACTATTTTCGAATTTAATTAAAGATTTTCATGGAATTAGAATCAAGTAAATTCTCACACGACGTAAAAAATTGTTATTGATAATTTATTTTACAATTCAGTTAATCTCATTAAGACTTTGTCAATCTGCACGGAAAGAAATCTGTTACTAAAGGCGCAAAGTCTACTGGTTCACTTTTTTCATTAGCCACTATTGCGAATGCGCTTTTAGTAACAGATTTCTCTATATGCTTAAGTAAAACAGTAGAAGCAGAATAGAATTAATAAAACACCATTTGACTGACGATAGTCTTATTTGCTACTCAGGAACGAGAAGATGCGATAAGCATCGCATGGTCTTGATTGGAAGGTTTGTATTCTTTTTATAAATCGAAATTGTTTTTTTTAAGATACTAAATTGTTTTTAGATTTTCGACTAAAAACAATCAACCTTCCAACCGACAGTAACTTTTTCACTGGAAAATTTTTATTTTATTTTTTGGTAAAATGCGCTGATTATGTGTTTACACATTAATATGCTTTCAACATGTTGCACATATTAAAGTTTTAAAATTTAAATTGAAAAGACAAATTTACTCTACATAACTCTAGGATTATCATTTACAAATAGTATTTATGAATTATATAAATCTTAAGTTTTATCAATTTAAACTTTTTAGTCATTAAAAAATTTATCCGCTAAATTTCATAAAATTATATATATATATTTATGTATATATATTATAAAATTTTTTGTATTCATATGAATCAAAATAATTTTGATTAGTCATGATAATTATAATGAATTGTATAAAAAAATAAATAATTTCCATTAGATCAAATATTTAATACACAAATTTTACAAATAATTAAAAGCTTAGATTGAATATTACACAGGCAGACAAAATAAAAAAAATTTCGAGTGCGAAGACTGCCATGTGATAGGTTCTCTTCCTTATAATGTGTCTTAAGCAAAAAACGTAGTCTGACATCGAGTTTGGTGCAATTTTTATTTTACAAGTCGATATATTTTGATTTATGCTTTATATTTATAATTTTAGGAAAACTCTATTCTTAAATTAGTTCAACATAATTCTGAATTAAGGAACATTGTTTTTACAATATATACTTTATATACTTAAATCAATTTTTATGTAAATAATAAGATTTTTGATTCGTCTTCATATAAGAAATAAGATTTTATTTTACAGTAACATAATTTTTAAATTTTTACCCAATTTTGTTAAAACCTCTTCGAGTTATCGTTTTCACAAAAAGGGATCCACTCACATATGTACATCCGGACATTTTTCAAAATCTTATATAACATATTCCATCACTTTGGGGTTTTTGTTGTCGCTGAAGACGAATCTAATGTTGGTTTGCAATATTTCTTAAAAACGGATCCAATATGACATTAAAAAAATTATTCAAATAAACGAAATCAATTGAAATTTGTTATTCGGAGGTTTTCCGAATCGCTATGTTCGTATGTAACGCGAAATTATAAAAAACTCGAATGTCTAATACAAAATTTTATGTTATGCTAGATTTATGTCCTTGTGTTTTGAATACCTTACTCTTTGATGAATTTTTTATTTTTTATTCTGACATATTGGATGTGACATTTCGAATTATTCAAAACCGACATCAGATTCTTAATCAGCGACCCAAAAATCTCCGTAGTAACAAGTCTTAAAGTAATGCGAACAATTTTTTTTAAATCTGCTTTTTAGGACCGTCATTTTGAATCCAACATTTTTAATTTTGTTATATTTTTAGTTTTTACATAATTAGAGTCACTAAGTACAAATTATCAGTCAGATATAAGCGTAAAAGTTTTAGATATAAAAAGTAAGTAAACCATGCAAATCAATTTCTTCTTCTTCACACTCCAGGTTTGTAAAAATAAAAACAAGCAACAAACTCGATGTTAGACTACATTTTTCTCTTTAGATACATCAGAAAGAAGAGAACTTATGATATTTCAGTCTTCGTACTCGCAATTTTTTTATTTTATGCGCCGATGTTAATACATAATTTATTGAATAAATACTGAAATTTATAAATTATCTTCAAATTAACTCCTTTCAAGTACAAATTTTTTCACCTACAGGAAATATATTGATTTGCATTGCAAGAAAAGTATGTTAGTTTCAGATGTTTCGATAGTCATTTTAAAAATGCTTTTGCAGTTGTTTTTTAATTTTTGGAAATGTTTTTAAAATTTTAACTTCTTTACAATATATTACATATTTATGAGGAAAGAAATTTTGATGTTAGCTTTAGATGCTATGTACGATACCTTATGTATAATAATATTTTAATAAAATTTATTTCATTACTTAAAACATCTTATGACATGACAAACATATTAATCTAAATACTCTTGCAATTTCACAATGTAAATAACGAAATGACGAATTTTTATCCTGCCATTCAAAGTTGATGCTTGTCGAAATTATATATATTACTTTTGGATTAAATCTAGACAAATTAGTGTAAATTGAAATTTACTGAACGTTATACTTGAAAGTATTAATGAATAAGAGATTTATAATATTTGATACAAACTGTACTTTCTTCCAGTGAAAGAGTACTATAAAGACCTAAAGAAAACAACGAAACCGTATCGTCGTCGGCACGACGGACTTAGACTAATCTATCTTGACTTCTCTGAACTCATTACAATATAAATACACTTATGTACAAATGGCACCGCTACTTACGGGGCTCGGACTATACGTATTTACTGGACAATTGTTTAGCCAGTTCCGTATACTTAAGAAATTTTGAATGAGGACTTTCTTCAAGAGAAGAAGCTGCAGATTGAGATGGACTTCCATTTGCCTGATTTGGAATAGGAGGTGACTTGTTTCGCTGTGAAGGTAGAGAAGATGAACTAGGACCACTGGAACCTGATTGGGATAGTGCCGCAGCCGATGCTGCAGATCTTCCAATTGTCAGGGGATCCGGAATGACACCATCCTTAACGAAATGCATTTTTGACAAATGATGCCTGTAAGCACCCTTGGAAATGAATGGAGTATCGCAAAACGCACACTTCATTATTGAGTCCGCTGTCACGACAGCGTCATTGCAGGCCCAACTGAAGGCCAGAATTGCCCCAGGCGTAGGACCAGAACCTGCAGCGCTTGTACTGGTGCCATTTCCACTCCCGGCGCTTTGAGATGAGCCAGTGGAACCTGAAGCGTTCCTGCTGCTGACGGAAGTAGAGCCACGAGTTTCTGTTTTGTCACAGAGCTTTTGAAGAGCAGCCAAAGGATGACTGCTGGTTTTTCGGCCTTGGGAATCTGTATTGCTAGTGCTTGTCCCTCCGCCACCACCTGAGAGGTTATCAAACATAGAAGACAATGCTCCGAGGCTACTTGAAGCTTTGGTATCAGGAGTTCCTCTAGGTGTCACTGATCTATCACTACTTGCTGGACTACTTGTACTATTTCTACATGGACTTCTGGTCGAGGGTTCAACCTGTCCAGTAGACCTTGGTGTTGGAGGATTCATTGGTGGTGAAAGAACTTCTCGATTCTCATCTGACAATTCCTGTTGAACAGTTCTTCTATGATTAAAGTTTGTCTGATCTTCCTCTTCTCTCGACTCATCTACTACTTCTTTCTTCACTACAACTTCCCTCGAACCTTGCTGAGGCTGTTCTGTCTCGGTTGTCGCTAAGTTTTCTGCATCCTCTTCCCTCGGTTCCTTTTTCACAACAACAGTCTCTTCGTCTCCGGATTCTTCTTGTACGTGTCGGTTCGTTAAAGGCGTTTGCTTCTCAGGCGTCGATCGATGATGCGTGTGAGAAGACGAGACCGAAAGCCTTTCATGGCCAGAAGAAACTTCAAGACGCCTCTCAGGTGTCATAGCATCCGTCCTACCGCTCCCTCGTTCCGAAATTGAACTCGATTCACTTCCACTTCTTTCTCGCCTGGTTGCATTTGAACCAGTATTGTAATGATGCTGCTGATAGGAACGCAGGAGATTCATCGTTTGAGGGTCTACGAGGGGTTTGGTATAATCTACACTTTCGTCAATTCCTAAACGCTTTAGAATGCTAGAACCCATGGGTGCACCAGGTGGAGCATGATGCAGACCGGACGCGTTATGTCGAACCCTTGAGTCAAAACTTTTCTCGATAAGTTTTTCAATTGCATTCAACACTGAAGGAGATGATGTTCCCGTAGGTTCAACGGTATTTGGTGTAGAAGTGTCTTTTCCAGGAGTTGTGGCATCACTGGCAGAAGAGGGGGACCGATGATGCCTCGACGAGACTGGTGATGTATCTTCAGTCACGCTTTTTCTGCCAGATTCTCCGACTGGCAGCGCTGTTGACATGTTATTTGACATTAATGCATTTTTGAGAAAGTTCCGTTGATTAACACCCACTGTTCCAGCACCAATGCACTGACGAATATGCTCCACAAAAATAGTTGTTTCAATCTTGTCACCGCACTTTTCGCACGTGATCCTACCAGCATGTTTACTTAAGCTGTGTCCAATACTTGCTCCAGTGTCACCATTTTTAAACTCGTTCTGTGCCCGCTCCAGTTCTAATAACTTTCGCACAGGAAGGGACTTCTTTCGTTTTTCTCTAGTCTGTCTTCGTCGTCCTCCACTCTCCGTAATCGATCGCATTATGTGCTCTTTGTAATGCGAATTCTTTACCATATGATTACTTAATTCTTTTAAGGAACTAAAAGCCTGATCACAAACCTTGCAAGTCAAAACAGCACTAACGTGACTACTCGTTGCGCCAGCTCCCGGACCACTACCACCTCCATGTGGACCACTTCCACTTCCTAGAGGACCTCCGGGACCACCGGTGCCTCCACCGACACCGCCTCCTGTGCTTCCCGATCCCTTACTGTCATCCGAAGATTTCCAAGATATTATTTGTTCTTGGGAGATGATATTTGTATAATGTTGCGTTTGCTGCATATGTGAAGTCATTTCAGCCAAAGATCGGAAACTTTGACCGCACCACATGCACTTTAATATCTGTCTTGTTTGCTCTGCACCTTTCCCTAACCAGACATCTTGACCTCGAACAAGCTTCCTTGGTAATGGCATTGTTTCTTTAATAAGTAGATTCAGTTCGGAAGGACTTTGCTTACTTGGAGTGGAAGTTCCGTTATTTCCGCCGCTGGTTGAAGTTTGTGGTTGATGTTGAGGTGGGGCTATCGAAATGTTCTGATGATGACTAACCGAAGGAGGAGGAACCGGCATGTTAACGCCACAGTGTTTGGCTTCTTTCATATGTGTCGTCATGGCAGCGAGTGTGGGGAAACTTTGTTTACACCAAACGCATTTCAGTACGTCCTTCGCTTGGTCAGCTCCTTTGTTAAGCCAGTGAGACTGCCAGGCGCTGTGTCGACTCCCAGATGTGGCGGAAGGATTTCCAATTCCTCCAGGAGATGATCGAAACAAATCATCACCGCCAAGTTTGCTCAGTTCGCTCATTTTTTCGAGGGCTTTTGTAGCTTCACTTGGTTGATAAGATTTTTCCATTGCTGATGGTGGTTTCATCTTGCCATTCCAAAGTTGATGGTGATCCACTACTCCGCCTGTGCTTTTCGGCGAGAGTTGCTGTTGACTAGTAGCAGCTGCTGCGACCGCTGCAGCAAAATATGGGAAGTGTGACGCCACTACGGGTGACGTCCAAGGGGACACAACTGATCTACCATACGAGGATGCAGTTGATGAGGTATCCTGATGACCAGTGGGAGTTGATGACGCGTGCCTAGATGATTTACGTGGTGGAGGTGGCGGCGAATCTTCAGGACCAGGTCGTTTCCTATTGGAAACTGACAAGTCGAGCGGTCCATTGTTTGTTTCCGTTGAAGAAGATGGCGTGGGAGGTTTACTAAGATTTAAAATCTGCTCGTCTTCGTCTTCAGTTGATGAAGCCTTTCTCGTACTGAAGTCAAGAACCGCTGGTAAAGGAGTTGCAACGGGTGATGTTTCTCCACCACTCGTTGGTGAGATCAAGAGACCAGGAGTTGCGGCAGGTGGTGAACAAGAAGACGTAACCAGAGGTGACACAGATCCACGGGATAATGGTGAATGACCTAGAAGAAGACGCTGATGCGTTTGCTGAAGGTAGGCTGCCATCACTGCCGCCGAATGAGAAGGTAAGAGTGGATGAGTCCCAAGAGGTAGAGGAACAATGCTACTAGGACTGACGGGACTGGCGCTATTTCGGATTGCTGGTGGTGGAGGACTTCCGACAGCTGGACCAGACGATTCCCGAGAGTCTCTCGAAGGACAACGAGGACTCATTGGTTCCCTACAACAAAACAAAACAAGCGTTTATTTATATCATCAAAACTGCAATATTTTTCTATCTCATACAATTTTCAAGAGTAAATAAATTAAGTGCATTGTATTCAAATTTGTTCCTCTAACGATTTTAGTTTTTACGTCCAAAAATTGATAAATCATTTTTAAGACATATGTTTTCCTATCATTTATTATTAAAATACCTGCAGAATTACAATGCCTTTTTTTAAATAATGGTATAAATTTGAACAAAAAGCAATAAAAAATTGAGGGTAATAATAATCAAACTTGTCGATTGTGTTAGAGTTATTGTGAAAAAATTATGTATTCCAAAAACAATTTATAGAAGTTGATACTAAAGATAACGGATGTTATTAATTTAAACGCAAACAAATCATAGCTATTGAAGTGACAATAAATATGAACGGTCGTAAATCAAACTATCGGGCGTTATATGCCGATTTTACTGCTGCAGAGACAAAATCAATTCCTCTTTGATTCTAAAATAAATTTTTTTTATTTAGGTTTTCTTACAAAATATTTATACAATCAATGATTTTTATATATCTGGATAACGTAAAAATATATTTTAATCGAGTAAAATTAATGGATTTTGTTTTTATAAATTAAATCAATATCATTAGTGCGAAATTAGGTAATATATTACCTTATATGTAATGTTATGTTATAATATAATTTATTTGAATATAGTATATTATAATATAATGCAATATTGGGTCAAGTGGGGTCATTAGGAACAAGACGCAACACTAATTATTAGTGTTGTCTCGCAGGACGAGACAAGATGCGATTCTTTTCAATCTTGTCTCGTTTGGAAACGTCGAGATGAAAAAAGAGTCTTGTCTCTTGAATATACAGTAACTTTTACTATTTACAAAGTAAACCCAAAACTGTATGGGACTTCTATGCATTTCTATCAACTTCTACTATTTTCAAAGTGAATTTTGCTACACTCTAAGTGATTTCACTTCAAAAATAGTAAAAATTAAAAAAAATGTGCAGAAGTTTCAGTAAGTGTAAGTTTTACTTTGAAAATAGTAAAAGTTACTTTATTCAAGAAACAGGCCGGCGCAGCGAACGTTTATCTGTATGGAATCTCAAGTGACATTTAGCCACTAGCTTAACAAAAGCACATAGAAGAACTGTCGCTGCACCGGCCTGTTTATTAAAACTTAGATATAATAAATAATGAGGAATCTTTTTGAAACTTTACAGAAAACTTTCTTAAATAGTAATAAACAAATATCTCACTGAAAGTCAATATTGTTTTATTTGATATAACTCAAAAGAATGTTAGTGAAATTTTGTCTGATAAAACGAAGAGAAAATAATTAAAACTAAATGTGATTAAAATTAAAGAAAACTGAAATTTATTTCAACAATTTTTAATTTTCAATAAAGGTAATAATTAAAATTATAATATTTAAATAATTAATCATTGTAATGTTGAATAAAAAGAATATTTTATATTTCTTGCTTCATTGGATAAGCGACCTTGGTGACAATCTTGAGTTGAAACTATAACCTGAGAGTTAACCGTCGCCACCGATGCTGCTTGCTGTACAATGGACCGATATTGAGTAAAATGCATGAGATTCCAAAGAAAAAGTTAATTTACACTTATTAATATTTATTTAATAGTATTTATTTTTTATCTCATATATTTTACGTTATATCCCCCTATTGTTTAGTCAGCACCATCGGGGTGGGTTAAACAACAATTTATTGATTTATTAAGATAATGTTTTAATTAAGTACTTTTTACTCTAAACTTTTTATTATTATTATTGTCTTCTAACTTTTTAAATTACAAAATGTTATTTTATTATAAAAAAATGTTTATTGCTGCCTGCGTTGCATATGAATACTTTTTCACTATCACAGCAAATAGGTTAAACAGTTTTAGTTACACTTAACTAAGGGGTCGTCCATATACCACGAGGTCAGTTTTAGGGGGAGGGACGTTCAAAGCAATGTCCACGTGGAACCAGTAAAAAAGTCCGTTACATTTTATTTATCCTAATATCAAATTTCGCACCACTGTTTTTGTTCAATTTTAAAAAGATTTGTCATCAAAAAAATTATTTTTAGTAGTAAAAACTGTTAAAAAATTTGGAAATGTCGTAAATATTTCTTTTATTAAATGTCAATTTAATTACCATCATAAAATAAAAAAACCTTTTTTATAGTTATAAGTTTTCATATCCTACCAAAGATATTAATTTCTCACCAAAAAATTTCCATGTGGATAATTATATAGGAGGTGAGGGGGGATTGTCAAAAGGACATGATTATCTACAATAGATGAAGAGGGGGGGGTCAAAAATTAATAAAAAATTGTTCCTAAGATGATAAGTGTGGCCCCTTCCACTATTCGTTTTGGCTATAGTTAAAATAACAATTAAAACAGTAGTTTTCTAAGATACGATGTAATATTTATCAAAATATATTATGGAAAATGTAAATTTTATCGATTTGGAAAATTTTATGATGAATAATAAAATAATTTAGTTTTTAATGTATGAAATAGGAAAAATAATTAACAATATTTGAGAACGGCTTTCTATAAGCCAAAAACAATACATTTCAAATAAAATTACCTTAAATAGATTTTTGTAACTATTTTTTTAATTTTTCAGTGAAATTTTGAATGGTGGACACTTTGGGGCCACTTTTTTTAAGGCAAAATTTCATCTGTTTTTCCAAAGTCATCAAAGTTTTATTTTCCTTCGTAAAATAAAAAAAATTTTTTGCTAAAAAGTTAGCTAAGGAGATACAGTTTCAGGGTATATACTATTAATTATGTCATATAATACCGTTTAGAAATTACAGTCGTTCAAAAGACCTTTGGGCCCCTTACCCTACACAATTAAAAATTATTATTTATTCTTATATTTCGTAAATTTATATACTAATAATTTTCATAGTTAAGAATAAGTGAATATATTCATTATTTCTTCAAAGATTTGAATTTCTGAATTTTTATAAATTATTTGTAATTTATTACATAGTTTCTATTTATTAGTTAATAAACTATGAAAATATTTTTAATAATTTTTTGTTTGTTTTATGACAAGTCTCTAGCACGTCAAAGTCGCTGATTACAAAACTAAAGTTTTATGCAATTTTGAGAAATTTTGAAAAAAATGTCCGCCATATTGGAACCGCCATTTTGAATTTAGATAATCTAACGAGCGAACCTAAAAACCCCTGCGAAACAAGTTTTATGTAAATTTCAGCAATTTTGAAAAAAATGGCCGCCATATTGGATCCGCCATTTTGAATTTTGAAAATCTGACTTCGGATTCGTAAGTAGCATTTTTAAAAAATGGATTTCGTGTTAGCAACATGTAGTATTATTTTCGTTATTGACATGAAAAAGTAAAACATTTTATATTAACAAAAGATTAAAATAAATCAATTTTCGGATTATTTTTCCCATGCAAATAATGTGTCTAAATCAAAACCAAATCATTTTTAAAATATTTTGAAAAAATAATCTTTCGATGTTTTATTTTAATCCTTGATGGATTAAAAGCGTTGCAGATTATTTTAATCCATTTTGGTGATAAAATAGTACCCCACAATTTTCTGTATTATATTAAAATATTTATTTGAGGTTTGATACAATATGTACTACTTTAGTATTATTTTTTCATTATACATATTAATTGTAACCAAAAATTAATATATAAAATAAATAAAATCAAAGAGAACCGAAAAACAAACAAAAATCAGCAACTGTCCTATATGGTGCTGTTTTATCAGACTAAAACTGAAATAAAAAAAAACACTTTTTCATGTCAATGGCGAAAAAATACTTTATTTATTATGATAATTTCTATGAAATACTTGAATTTAAATTTAATCATATAAAAGCATAATGAACATTGTCTATCAACATGAACAATGTAATTTAATAACAATGCAATACAAAAAGAGGAACCAAAATAAATTTTATTAATTAATGAAGAAAAAGTTGCATCACTTGTGCGAAACAAAGTTACTGAAGAGTCATTTCAGAATTAAAAAGGGTAATAAACTTTTTACCTCTAAAACCGATTTTATGCGTCCGGTCACGTGGTTAAATCTTGGTTGGCGGACATTCCAAAATAAAAGTATTAAAAGTTTTATGACACAAATTTAAGTAGTAGACCTGTCGACGACTGGTTCGTAACTGAATGAGCTCGAATGCGTGCCAGGAGTTGTAAGGGGCCACAACCACGCATGCAGGGGAAGTTTTTGGACTTGCGGGGAGGGGAGTGTGTGTGATGCTATGCGAGGGTGCTGCTCTGCAATGTACCTTTTTAATGGGGGGTGGGAGAGACACGAGTGCTGCTGGAAACATGCGCCTATCTCTATTAGCTGAGTGACGCCACGCGGCAGCCACTGATATCACAGTCGCCTGACACGGCTGGCTTATTTATCCCATCCGCGGCGATTTGTTGGCCTCAAACAGCACGCAAACTTTACACTACCTATCTACCATTGTCGGATGCTTCAAAGACAGCCGTTCTTTCGTTGGCTTATTTTGAAATAAATCAAAAATCCATCATCTCATTAGGAAGTCCTTCACATTCATTGAATTAAGTGAAATTCATTTTATGTCACAAAACAATTTACCAACTCTTAATATTTCTAATTCCTAAAAACATAAAGTAACATTTTTCCATATCGTAAATTATTTGCATTTCAAGATCAAAATTTGGATCCAGATTTTAATATTTTTGGATATAAATAGTCACCAAAAGTAAATTACTCGGAATATTTCATTTTTTTAAAGGTTGACTATTATATTTTAAATTCCAAAAAAGCAATAGTAATTTAAAGAATAAAAAATTCTGTTTTTTGATTATTTCCACTACTTTTGGCTAATACTAGAAATTAAAAAACTATATTATCAAAAATTATAATCAAATTCTTCAAAACGATTCAATTATTTACAAAAAATATTCGAAATTCAATTATTTTTAATATCTATTATTTTCATAAAAATTCGCAAAAGAATTCAATTATTAAAAAAATTGATAAAATTCATTCAAAATTCAATTATTTTCATAAATAATAAAACTCATCGAAGAATTTCAATTATTTTTATATTATTTTAAATCAATTAATCGATCTACAAGAATTCAATTATTTAAAATAAAATTTTCATAATATTTATTATATTTCAAACAAATTAATTATTTAAAACAATGTTTATAAAATTCTTATGAAGAATTCTATTATTTTCGAAAATAACAAAAATGTTCACAGAAATTCAATTCTTTTTAAACATTTTAAAAAAATTTTTCGCAATAATTCAATTATTTTCATAAATAATAAACTTCTTCTTAGAAATTCTATTATTTTTAAAAATTTTAGTACAATTCTTTGTAACTACTATTTTCAAATATTTTATTTAAATTATTTGAAAATAATCGATAATTTTAAATACAATTTAAATGAAATTTTTTTGAAATAATTCAATTATTTTCACAAATATAGTTTTACTCAAAAATTCAATTATTTAAAATTAAATTTTCATAATACTTATTATATTTCAATAAAATTGATTATTTAAACAATGTTTATAAAATTTTTATGAAGAATTCATTATTATTCTTAAAAATAACAAAATTTTTCACAGAAATTCAATTCTCTTATTAAACATTTTAATCAAATTTTTCGCAATAATTCAATTATTTTCATAATTAATAAAATTCTTCTCAGGAATTCAACTATTTTTAAAAATTTTAATAAAATTCTTTGAAACTATTTAATTATTTTCATAAATAATTAAATTCATCGCAGGATTTCAATTATTTTTCATACAATTTTACAGGAATTGCTCAAAAAATGTAATTATTCTTTCAAAACTTAATTTCGAATCCTCGAAAATATCAATTATTTAAGAAATGTTTTTTTAAAATTCTTTATAAGAATTCAATTATTTACTAAAATGTTAGAATTTTTCAGAGGAATTCAGTTATTTTCAAATATTTTAATAAAATTGTTCGAAAAAAATCAATTATTTTAAATACAATTTTAATTAAATTTTTTTATTCTCGAAAATTCAATTATTATGAGGCATTTTAATAAAATTCGTTTTGCAAAATTCAATTATTTTCATAAATAACAATATTCATCACAAGAATTCAATTACTTTTAAAAGTAATAAATTTCTTTTCTGAAATTCAATTATTTTTAAAAATTCTTATAAAATCGTTTGGAAGAATTCTATTATATTCATAAAAAATAAAATGCTTTTTAGCAATTCAATTATTTTCAAAAAAATTTAATAAAATGCCACACAGAGATTTAATTGTTCTCAAACATTTCAATAGAATTTTTTGTAAAATTTAATTATTTTTAAAAACTTTTCGCTATTCAATGATTTTAATATCTACTATATTCATAAAATTTCCAAATAGAGTTCAAGTATTTGAAAGATTTTCTGTAAAAATCTTTGTAAGAATTCAATTCTTTTCATGAATAATAAAAATTTCTCAGGAATTTAATTATTTAAATTAGAATTTATAAAATTAGAATTTATAAAATTCTTCGCAAGAAGTAAATTATTTTTATAAATATTTAAATTCTTTCATGAATAATAAAATTCGTTGTAGGAATTAAATTTATTAGCAGAATAAGAAAGAAGTAAATATTTTTGATGAGAATTAGGAAAAAGTCAGGAAAATAAAATATAGAATGGAATTTTTGTCAGTTTTTTGAAGTGTCTAAAACGAGTTTTTTTGGTCGTCAAGTTTAATTTTCCGTTTGATACTTTTTTACTACTTTTTTTTAATTTATGAAAGCTGCTTTTTGCTACTTTTTTTAAATTTAATTATCAAGTGCGAAGTATGATATTGTAAATCAACATGCTCGTGAGCATGACAAATAGTTAAATAGAAGTCAATAAATAAAATGGATGTAGGCTAATCAAATTTTAGAGTTTTAACACCTTATCCTAATCTTGAGAAGTGATTTTTCGGGAGGATGTTTGCGAGTAGTAATAAACGCCAGACGGATAATATACTGTTATGAGGTGCGAGTTTGTTGTCGTAATGTTAATCTGACATGAACCAACATTAAATTATGCAATGACTTGTAAAGCGAGCAGTAACTTTTATAAAGTCGTACAATATTTACCTATCTGGAGGACCCGTATCTCTTATGGCGGCAGGGTTCAATCGTGCTGTGATAGAAGAAGGTGAAGTCAGGGGACAATTTCTTTCATCATCTTCTTCATCACTGACTTCTCCATTTTCGTCTTCTTTAACTGCTGGTGCTCCAACCCTTTCATTCGGACTATTCGGTCCATCTTCATCCATGCAGTCACCCTCCTCACCTTGCAGGTCTGTCCCGGGACCCGAACTTTCGACGCCGTCCTCCCCTAAAACGAAAAATAAAAAAACACTTAATTTAATTTCAAGTAGCTTTCAACAACAATTAATTATAGATATCAATATTTTAACATTAAAATTATTTTTTAAAAACGTTAAGAATATATTTTCATTAACATGATTCACAAGACGCTTCCTGATACATTTTGGAAATATAAATCAATTTTATTACCACTTTGGCCTGTACCGAAAAATGATTAATACACTAAGATTCGTAATTAGGTTTTTTCTAACAAAAATATGTTTTAAAAAATGTGTGGTTATAATAATAATTTTATATATCAAATAAAAGATTTAATAGGGACGACAAAATTTTTGTTGGCGACACTAAACAGTTTTGAGTGAATATATAATGTGTACACTTATCATAATGTATATACATATTTTTACTTGGACTCAAGTCATGAAGAAAGAAAGAGACTTTAAAGTCGCGGAAATGACGGCAGATGCAGTCTGTGATGAGAATTCATGGAAACGATATAAAGGTGCAGATGGCGAATAACAATGGTGCTATCGGTTCATTTATCAGCCGTTGCCACAACGATGTCATCTACCCAGCCGTCAGATGCATCTTCGATGAAGACGCAAAAGCATTGTGAAGCAAGTCAAGCTCTTCCGTCATTAACACTATGAGTTTTAATCAAGTCATTTCCATTTTCGTTTTAATCATAGGAAAATGCTTAAAATGAAAAGAATTATAATATTTACCCATTTCAATCTGACGTTTTCATTTTGTTTCTTTTCATATTGTTATTTTGAAAAATTAAATCAACTTTTTATTAAGAGACATAAATGGACTGATAATAGAACCCAGGGACCTGAACTCTTCTTAGGGACAAATTAAAAACAAGTTCTTGAAGAAATCAAGTGAAGGGTGACTCCCTCACAAGTCCCTCAACTTCCTCTGGCGAAAAATTTACGAATTATCCAATTCGATCACACCCACGTAAATGAGATTGATCAATGTAAATCAGATGCACCTGAAGATTTATAGCCTTTGTCCATCATCTTGATATTTTTTCTTATTTCCGAGACTCTTGTTCTCGGTGATTTACAAGGAGGTGGGACAGGTGTGCGATGCAAATAGATAAAAAAAAGGACGAGGAGATATAGGAGAAGAATAAGGGATATATAAAAGGGCTCCAAAAAAGAACTCCTCCCGGATGAAGAAGCCGATGAAGGAGCACGCGTGTCCGCCATCTTGCACCAATGCGTCCTCCTCCAGGAAGGAAGGGAGTGTCGTCCTTCACCGGTAGCTAGTACATACTTCAACTGGGACAGAAGGACGGACAAGACTTCTTCGGGTGGGGACGACGAGCACCGTCCTACCTTGCCAACTGACCAACCAAACGATCGTTTGTTCCCGGTCGAAACAGTCGAGGAGGGAGAGAAAGGAGATCGCACATTGATCCGCGGGGGCATCGGCAACTAATTACGCAGATTTATGTCCCCATTGTCCATTGTCTACTTAACTGACCGGACGAGAAAACCGAGAACGGAGGCAATGCAACTCTCCAACGAACGACCAAATGGAAGAACGTCTCGAAGAAGGACGGTTCGACTCCGAGCACGAAGAAAAAGATTGTTCATACAACACTTCAGGTTTTTCAATGCTCCTCGAGGCCATCGGAATACGTGACCCCACCCGAATCATGATCTTGAAAACAAAACAATCTTCATTTATATTCCAACTGTATTTATTACATTTATTATTCTGAATTTTAGTTCTAAAAAGTTCTGAAAATTTCACAAAGTAATTATGCTGCCATAGCGAATTAAAAATGTTTCTATATTATACCCTACGAAGGATTACCACAAACAATACGAACCCTTGAAAAATAGGATTAACTCCCAGAACCCAAATAATATTTTCTTTCTCCATTCATCGCATGGAAGACTATGGATAAAAGACTTGATATAAGAATATCTCTTTTCAAATTTTACCAATTCTTCCTTTTTCCAAAACGATAACATGTCTTTCTTTACCTTATTTGCATATCTACTCTTTTCATATAAGAAATTAAATAATTTTGGATAATTATTGTCAAAGGTAATTATTGACAAGAGAATTACTTTTCATACAGAGCAGAGTATGGTCTATGTGAAATCAATTGCGAAATTGACGAATGTTGATTGCTGGAAGTAAATGCCGGAGCACGAGGAGAATCGTGCCTCGATTGGCAATCCACTAACGAGGAACTATAAGAATTGGCTTCTCGTGAGCGGAAGACACGAGGGACTATGGTATACCTGGCAAAGAAGCGAGTGCTGACACCAGAAGATGCTGGAGCACGATATCCGTTTCCACTGTCCTTGACTCACACGGATTAGGTGTATGTTTCTTTTTTATTTATATCACTTCAAATACATAAAGTTGTGCCATATTCTCAATCCCCTTCACATCCCTCTTCTTCTATATGGATTAAAACAATTTTTAGGGTATGTCCTTTTGCTTTAAACTGATAAATTTTTTTCTATAATAATTCTGGGTTGGTGTTTGTTTAACAATCTAAGTTGAATAAGAACAGTCACAAATTTGTAAGGAGTTTTCAATTCCAAATATTTCGGAGACTATTATTCATAATATTTAAGTTTAATTAAACCCTTCAACAATTGGTTTTTAAATAATTCTTCGGATTTCTTTACGCTAAAACGCCAATATTACATCATAACTTGTGTGACTTGCAGAAGAAACAAAAGCGCGAATAAAAGAAGGTGATCATCAGTCGTGAATATAAGAGAGTAAAAGTTAGCCGCGAGAGAGAGAGAGAGACGAAATGAATTTCTAATACGAGAACTGACAGGAGACTGGATGAGAAGAATGACAGGAGGTAAAGGCGAGACGAACGGATGGACATACGGTCAGACTGATAGACGAACAGAAGGACGTAGGAAGAGAAGACTCGCATTGTGATTCTCTAACTGCCAGCGACTGACTGACAGATGAATCCTTGCCCATCCGTACACCCTTTTCTCCTGGACAGGATTTGAATCTTCATTGAGACAGACCATTACTACCAGGAGCTAGAGCTTTATTCTCTCGAGATTAAACAAATATTTTAATCTATAAAACAAGACATTAGACAATAAAGACTTAAAATTTTTGCAATTAAATTCTAGAAAAATGTAAATCCAACAAAAATTATAGTCTAGTATGTAAAAAGAAAATCTTAATTTCAAGTTTCTTTTTTTTATGAATAAAACTTGAAATTTAAAACAAGAAGGAAAAGTTTATAAAATGGTTTGTTGTCTACAATAAGAATGTAGAGTGAAAAGAGAATAACAGATGATAAAATAGACTTTCAGGTGTCCTATATTCAAACATGACTAACCTTCTCGATGAAAAATCTAAAATTATTCACATGACAGGTGAAGGCATCATATGTCCCAGTTATAATGATTGATATACACATGAGTTGATAAACAGACCACAATCATCGGGTTTCGTAGAGAGCCTACTTGTCATTTTGTTTTAATTTTTTTTTCCTTTATATCTCGAGGTCGTTGGAGTGTCAGCTAAGCAGATTTGTGAGTCACTTAGCGGTCTTACCAGAGGGTGAGTGAACAGGGCAAGACGTCAGAAAAAGAACCAAAGACAGAGTATCTACCTACCGTATTCTACCTGACTGATTGACCGATGAGGCGACTGTTATTCTAAGTCAACACTCAATCCATCAAGTAGCTGAATTCTCCTCTTTCCTTTACCTAATTCTAACCAATGAAGCAATCAAAATTGTTCGACATCAAATCCATGCTGTATATTCATTTCTTATCAATATTTTCAATTTGGTTCAAATCTGTTCAATAATATGTCTTAAAAATTAATTTATAAAGTCTCGTAAACTTTAGTGAATTTAATATTACTGTTTATTACATTTCCACAAGACGACAACACCGAATCAAGTAATATTAAATAACAAAAAATCTGTTTCTTTTTTTAATTTTTGATATTAAAATTTAGTTCAGGAGGTTTACTATACTAAATTGCAAAGATACAAGTTTTTAGATAGAAAATTAATTTTGTAATCGAACACGTAAATTAATTACGATAGAGGTGCAAAGAATGGTTAAAATTCAAAAGAGAGTAATTGACATAGAAAAGACAGTGAGTGATGGGTAGAACCTGTCGCAGAAACTAAACCAGTCGCTATGAAGAAATATAGTGTCGCAAAAGTTTTAGACGAAGAGTAAGTACAAATGACACATCTATCTCTAATGCCTTGACTTAAGTTAAAATTCCCTTACTTATACAAATCTCTTTTTAGTTTCACCTTCTAGATAAATTTTCTATAAAATAGTATCTTCTAATTTGAAGAAACAATATTTTAAAATTCAATTCATTACAAAAAAATATTCAATTATATACAAAGACCTTAAAACGAAGGAAAAAGAAATTCTGAAAAATGTCATTAATAAATTAATAAACCATAATCACCTATTGCATTTTTTTGTGGCAAAATGTTTTCAATAGAATGTGAGACGCATAGGGACAAAGAGCTAAAAGCTAATGATCTAATCGGTTGACTGACTGATGACGCAGTTTGCCGACAAACTCATTTTATTAATACATAAAGCATAGGGAGAGACAAGACCAGCCAGAAAGCATAGGCACGATGAGAGGATGATGGATGGACGTATGTACTTATGTCCAAACGTTAGTTCTATCGTTGCCTATGCAACAGGCTACGATGATGATCGATGTGAAACAAACTTCAAAAATGCGAAATTTTGCGAATTCTTTTTTTTAGTTCTGAAGAAACATTTTAAAAATTACTCTCATCGTATATATTGTACATTCCATCGTAATTTTCAATGTCTAATCTAATCTTGTTTGAATTTAATAATTAGTGAACTTCGACTATAACTTTTTAAAATCACATTTACAATTAATTTGAATGAGGTTTTAAAACTAAGTTATGAAAGTTAAGTTATGGAAAAAAATACAGGTAATTGCTTATATGCTGTCCTTCCGGTTTTCCCACTTCTTTAA